TTTATATATATATAAAAATATAACTAACATTTGAGGGAGTGATTTTTCTCCTAATATTTTTTTACATGTTTCTTTTTTTCTATCTATAAATACTTGTACAGTTGGAATATTAATATATAACTCTGGCGGTAGAGCTCAGCGCCAGGTGATGCTCACTTAAAAGACGTGTATTTTGTATTTAAGGGACTTTTGTTCTGTATCATATGCAACTGCAGGAGATTGTTTGACTTGGATCGGGGCTGCCTTTCCCATCCGTGTAATTAATAAAGTACTAATGGTATCTGCTAGCTGATGAGGAATCCTTCATGCCGACTGATTCTCCAAAACAGGAGCATCCCGGAGCTGAGCAATGCGCTTTCTTGTGGGGCTGTGGAGCTGGAGGCAGTGCCTGGCTGGCTGGGGAGCCACGGGCATCCTTGTGCCGCTGGAAAGGGTCAAGCGGTGCTGGCCTGCGGCATCACCAGGGTAAAGCTCCTGGGGGAGTCGTGCAGCTCCAGCCGCTTGATCTGCAGACAGCCCTTCACCTTCTCCTGGAAGGAGGCGGTGGTGATGGTGTAGAGGATGGGATTCAGGGCACTGTTGATGGGCAGGATGAAGATGACCACCCAAGAGGTGATGGTGCCTGTGCCAACAAGGACACAACATTAGGCAGCCGAGGTGGAGGCTGCTCGGGGCGGGTAACCCACCCGCTCCAGCCCATGCAGCGAAGAGGGCGATGCTGTTCATGGGCTCGTGGCTGGAAGGGCAGCCTCCCACAGGGGGGTCATGACTGCTGCTCCCTGGGGAGAGGCAGGGTCCCAGGGAAACCTGTAACGCTGTCTGTCTCTTGCAGCCCGGGCCTGGGTGAGGAGAGCTCCAAACTCGGCGGCACCTTTGTTAAGGGACCCCCAAGGCAGGGACGCACAGTGGGCAGCAGCTGGGCTGGGCTCTGCTTCAGGGCCTTGCAGGGAATGGGGGTTCACCTGGTATTTCCACCTGCAGCAGGGAGAGCAGCTTGAGGAGGAAGATGGGTATCCAGCAGAGAGCATCTGTGAAGACGATGAAGAAGAACCGCTTTGCAATGGCGACTTCCCGGGAGCAGATGCTTCTCTCCGCTGTTTTGGATGCAGTGATGTGGAGGGAGTAGAACATGCCGGAGTAGGCGAAGACGATGGTGATGAAGGCTGCGAGATTCAAGCCTGGAAAGGAAGAAATCTCTCTCTGAGCATAGCCAAAGTGCAAACCTCGTGAGCCGGGATCGCTGGCATGGCTGAGAGCAGCAGGACTACTCCTGCCTTATCACTGGAGGGGGCAGAGACATCTGGGCAGCCCTGGCTGGTCCTGCATCCAGCCTCTGCCAGCGATGCCCGTGCCCAGACGTCCCACTAACGGGGTGGTGTGGGCTCTCATGGCTCTGGGAGTGGAGAGCTGGGCTGAGCTCCCACCAGGGGAACCCATCCTGCCCCATATCGTCCCTGTCCCCAGGTCCCGAGGTAGCCTTACCCAGGTAGATGGTGGTGGAGTAGCCCCGGGCACTGGGCCGCTCGCCCAGGTCAGACTGCAGCGGGAAGCACACCCCGTTCCTCCCGTAGTAGTTCCCAAAGGACTCCTTACACCACAGGGGAACGATGCTGAGGGAGAAGCCCAGAAGCCAGATGGCCACTAGCACCGAGATGGTCTGCTTCTTGCCAGCTCTGTGGTGGCTGAACGGGAAAACGATGGAGAAGTACTTCTCCAGGGTCATGTAGGTCAGCAGCAGGACTGACACCTCGGAGGACAGCATGGCCAGGCTGCCCACCAGCTGGCACTGGAGGCTGCCCATCCAGCCCTGGGCATGCTTGTTGTATTCGCCCGAGTACTTGAGGTCGAAGGCTCCGATGACGAAGAGGTAGATGCCCATCAGGCCGTCTGCACCTGGGTGGGAGACAATGCACAGCAAGAAAAAAACACCAGTGGGCATATGCAGACCTTTGCATTAACGTCCTGGCCATAAAACCATCACAGAGCTGGGCAGCCTTTGGCTTTATGTGTGTGTATACATTGAAAAGAGCTGCCTGCTGGTGTCTGTGAGTGCAGCCTGAGGGCAGGAGGCGAGATGCCCCCGGCACAGAGGGATGCCCGGAAAGCCATCTGACATCAGTACAAAGGGAAAGATGGCAGCAAATGGGCCCCAGCTGCACTGGGGAGGGCTGGCAGCAGCTAGATGGGTCCTGGGGAGGTGTTGGGGGGCAGCTCATCCACCCCGGTTCCCTCTGCACCCCCTGGCTGGTCCCTGTCCCTCTGCCACCCAGCTCACAGCACAGGGACTTGATGGCCATGGTGTGCTGGCTGTTCTCTGTGACCATGAAGGACCGCATGCAGATGACGAAGAGGTTGCCGAAGCAGATGAGGCAGGCGATGACCCAGACGGAGATGCGCAGGATGATGTTGGCGAGGAGGTTCTCGAAGGAGGAGATGCCATCGGTGTTGGGCTTGCAGCTGCGCACGTGGGGCACATAGCTGCAGTACTGGAACTTCTTGAAGTAGCTGTTGGGGCGGGGATGGGGGGGAAGAAGGTTTCCTGGCTGCCACCGGGACCAGGAGCAAACATGGCCTGGTCTGCACAGCCCCCCTGCCCCACACCCCACACTCTGCCTGCCTGCACTGGCTCCCTCCAGCCCCTCGACCTCATTTTTCCTTGCCTGGGCGGAGAAGAGCCCCCACCTCACCAAGCCCTGAGCCTAGGGGCTTACATAGAGCAGGGGAAGAGAGATGGGGAGGTCAGGGGGAGGAAGGAGGCAGCGGCAGCACGGGGTGGGAGCGGGGACAGGGCGATGCCAGAGCACAGCCGTCCCTGCGACAGCACCCGGGGCCAGGATTTGCAGGGGACACGGAGCCAAGCGAGGGAGGGGGGTCCCTGTTTGCGCAGTAGTGCGACTGGTTTCAGACGCTAAATCAGCAACACCCCGAAGCCTTTGCAAAACCAGCTGGAAGCACCCCAGCGCCTTTTGGATCATGTACCACAGCCACGCTCTTAAATCTGCCGCTCTTCAGCACCGTCAACTGATAAATACAAGAGTGTTTTCTTCCAACCCATGAGTCTCACAAACTAACACTTAAAAAAAATCAATCCCTTATGCCAACCCTTCAAGTTCCATTAACAGGGATTCACATTTCTTCCTCTGCCTATTCATCTGAAAGAATCTTTTCAAGCCTTATAAAAGCCAACCCATATAAGCTTAGTGAGACTCTACATTAGAAAATGACTACAAAACTGCAATGCGAGGCTGATTTCTGCTTCATTATAGATAAAAGGAGAGAAAATGATTGCTTATTAGCAAGTCAGGTAGAAAATGTACCGTATTCATAGTGCAAACAGACCAATTACGGAAAGGAAGATGTACAGTTGTCTTTCATTACGGGTACTTTAAAATGTGCGTCTGAGAAAATTGATGATTCTTTTTCTCCTTCCGAAGAGAAGCTGAGGCACCCACCACTGGCTGCATGGCCCAGCATCCACCCTGGGCGCAATGCTGGACCAGCCTGGCTGGCTGTCTAGCTCTGGGCTCGTTAGCCCAGACCCAAGCAAAAGGAGCTCTAACAGGATTACTTAACCACAGCCTTCCGCGCACAGCTTAGCACCACTGCCTGCCTTGGCTGACAGGTCTACCTGGCCCACATCGCTCTGCAATGTGCACTTTCAGACATGCAACTCACTCTTTGCATTGCCCACGCACCCAGATCGGACACCCGCCACTCGGCAAACTGCTCCTTTCGCATCGGCGAAATGCTCCCCTCACCCTAAATAAGCCTCAGCTAGGTCAGACCCTCTTTGCCCCCAGGAGATTTAAGCAGTATCGACATGCTCAGGGGCTTCCAGTGGGCTGAAACAACTTGCTCAGGAGTATAAGAGTGAGCAAGTTTCCCTCCCTGCACCCAGCACCCCCAGACATGGGTGCTGGGGCAGCAGCAGCCGCCCGCTCACCCCCGCCACTCACATGTGGGGGTCCGGAGACCGCAGCATCCGCCCCCTCCCCCCCGCCACTCACATGTGGGAGAGGTTGGTCAGCTTCTGGAAGGTCAGGTTGTGAATGTTGGGGATCTCCAACCCTTCCAAGCTCCTGCGAAAGGAAATCAGTGCAGGGGATACAGGGCTGGGTTTGGGGCTGCCGCAGGTGGGGGCAGCACTGTAGGGTCGGGGCCGTTGTGGGGCTCACAGAGACTGTAGCTGGGGCAGGCTCTCAAACTGGCTGGGAAAGATCTCTTTCAAGGGATTGTACGAAATATTCCTGAAAAGAGATGAGCTTTTGGTATTTTTCCTACCTGGAAGCTATCAGAGTAGCTGGAAGCAAGAGCAAAGGGCTGTCTTTCTATGGCTTCCCCCTCTGCCCTGGGATGGGTCCGCAGCCCTGAAGAGGAGGGTCTGGGATGGCACCAGGCTGTGGGAGGGAGCCCATCCTGCCAGGGCTACCATGGCTCCGGTGGGCAAACAGCCTGCACAGCAAGGACACCCACCCAGCAGGGTGCTGGGGGGGGCAGGGGTCCTGCAGGGCCCCCATCACTTGCGGGAGGACAGGAGCACCCCAGTACTCCCAGCTGCTGGAGCTCAGCCAGGCCGTTAAATAGCGAGGGGGGGAGCTGCTCTAGTTTGTTGGATGACAGGTCGCTGTGCAAAGGAGAGCAGTGTTTGAGAAGCAGTTGAGGGCACCAAGCCTTGCACCCAGGGGTGCTGAGCAGCAATGTGCTCTGGGCAGGGGGGTAGAGTGGGGTCCTGAGCAAGGCCCCCCCTCCACCCCTGCTCCAGCACAGCCCCTGCCTGTGGGAGAAGTGGGGTTCAGGGCAGGTGATGCCTGGAAACTTACAGCTCCACCAGCCTGGTCAGCCTGGAAAACGTCCCAGCTTGGATCCACCTGAGCTTGTTTCTGCGCAGGATCCTGGAGAAGAAGGAAGGGGAGAGAGCACGTGGGTACAGCACAGCACCACGCACCCTCCAGGAGCATCCTCCGACCTCCGGACTGGCCGTGAGCAGCCGGAGGGGCTGGTGCTGCGTGGGGCTCACCTGTGGGGGGCACCCCGCCCTGCCAAATCC